GAATTCAACGCAGGTGCAGAGTGGAGTTTGATTTGGTAGAAAAGGATTCCATGCAAACAGAGGATGTTGTCTGGAAAAAAGAAGAATTCAACATAGAGCGCTGCTGAATAGATACCCTTGACGTATGCATGCATCGTGTAATGTGGTGGGCCAAGCGACGGGATCTGCCAATTAGAAGTGGCGGCATGCCGATTATGTTGGCTTCGTGCTCCCCGGACCTCCGAACTTCGCAGCGTTATTGTATTTTTTGAAAGTCACCGCCCAGCAACACGCTCGCCTCCACGTCTCCAATGGCTGCCCAGCTGATGACCATGCGGGCGCAAGCCTTGAGAGCGGCCAGGCTCGCAAATGCAAAGGTGAAAAATCCCCCGAAACGCGCCCAATCGCCACTAACGCGTCCCAGTCATCGGCCGGCGTGCTCCCAAGCAGAAGACATCTCGCAACCGCCACCTCCGCACCCAAACCTCCTCCCGGTTTCGATGTCGCCTCGCGCACTCCTCCCTACCCGAAGCTCCTCAAGAGACTGTCCGAAGTCCGCCGCGTCCTTGGTGCCGAGAGGCAGCTCACGCTCGCCGAAAAGATTCTTTATTCGCATCTCGACAACCCCGAGGAGTCGCTCTTGACCGGCACCAACAATGGCAAAGATATTCGCGGGGTCGCAAACCTCAAGCTCAAGCCCGACCGCGTGGCCATGCAGGATGCGTCGGCGCAAATGGCGTTGCTCCAATTCATGTCGTGCGGTCTGCCCACGACCGCCGTTCCTGCCTCGATCCACTGCGACCACATGATTGTGGGAGAGCGCGGCGCGGACACCGACTTGCCGCGCTCGATCCAGGGCAACAAGGAGGTATTTGACTTTTTGGAGAGCGCGGCGAAGAAATACGGCATCGAATTCTGGCCTCCGGGTGCTGGCATCATCCACCAAAACGTCCTGGAGAACTACAGCGCGCCGGGTTTGATGATGCTTGGCACGGACAGCCACACGCCGAACGCCGGAGGTCTGGGTGCGATTGCCATTGGTGTTGGTGGTGCCGACGCCGTGGACGCGCTGGTCGATGCTCCTTGGGAGCTCAAGGCGCCCAAGATTCTCGGTGTCAGGCTTGAGGGCCAGCTGAGCGGCTGGGCGAGTCCCAAGGATATCATCCTGACCCTCGCGGGCAAGCTCACCGTCCGCGGTGGTACCGGCTTCATCATCGAGTACCATGGCCCCGGTGTCGAGTCTCTCAACTGCACCGGTATGGCTACAGTGTGCAACATGGGCGCGGAGGTTGGCGCAACGACATCATTATTCCCCTTCTCCTCTGGCCACGTCCCCTACCTGGCGGCAACCTACCGCGAGTCCATTGCTACCGCTGCCAGCACCATTGCTTCCTCTCCCGGCCCTCACAACCTCCTCCGTCCCGACTCCAATGCCGAGTACGACCAGCTCATTACCATTAACTTGTCCGAGCTGGAGCCTCACATCAACGGTCCCTTCACTCCCGACCTCTCGACACCCTTGAGCAAGTTCAAGGACACTGTCGAGGAGAAGGGATGGCCCAAGACGTTTGGCGCTGGATTGATTGGCAGCTGCACCAACTCTAGCTACGCAGACATGACCCGTGCGGAGCATTTGGTCAAGCAGGCCAAGGCAGCTGGTTTGACTCCCAAGGCCGACTTTTTCATCACTCCGGGTAGCGAGCAGATTAGAGCGACTCTTGAGCGCGACGAGACGCTCGACACCTTTTCGTCTGCTGGCGGAGTTGTCCTTGCCAATGCTTGCGGACCTTGCATTGGTCAATGGAAGCGCACCGACGAGGTCAAGAAGGGCGAGGCCAATGCCATTTTCACCTCGTACAACCGCAACTTTCCCGCCCGCAACGACGGCAACCGTGCCACCATGAACTTCCTCGCCTCTCCCGAGCTCGTCACGGCCCTCTCGTATGCTGGCGAGACCACCTTCAACCCCATGACCGACTCCATCCCCACCCCCTCGGGTGAGCCCTTTAGATTCGCCCCGCCGACAGGTGTAGATCTGCCCAAGTCCGGCTTTGAGATTGGCAACCCCGACTTTCTGCCCACCCCGGGCAAGCCCGACCCTTCAGTCGAGGTCCAGATTGACCCCAAGTCGACGCGTCTTGCCGTGCTCGAGCCTTTTGCGCCGTTCCCCAAGGGTGACCTCTCGGGCCTGCGCGTTCTCTACAAAGTCAAGGGCCAGTGCACCACCGACACGATTTCGGCGGCCGGACCCTGGCTCAAGTACAAGGGCCACCTGCCCAACATTGCGGAGAACACGCTCATCGGCGCCGTCAACGCGGCGACGGGCGAGACCAACACGGCCTACGACTTTGACGGCTCGTCGTGCGGCATCCCCGAGCTGGCCAAGCGCTGGAAGGAGCAGGGTGCCGAGTGGCTCGTCGTCGCCGAGCACAACTACGGCGAGGGCTCCGCGCGCGAGCACGCCGCCCTGCAGCCGCGCTACCTGGGCGGCCGCATCATCCTGTCCAAGTCCTTCGCCCGTATCCACGAGACCAACCTCAAGAAGCAGGGCGTCGTGCCGTTGACCTTTGCCAACGAGGCCGACTATGACCGCATGGATGCTTGCGACTCGGTGTCGACCGAGGGCCTGTACGAGACGCTGCAGAAGGGTGGCCAGGGCGAGATCAAGCTCGTCGTCAAGAAGAGGAGTGGCGAGACTTTCGAGGTCAAGACCAAGCATACCCTGAGTCGCGACCAGTGCGGCTTCATCCTTGCGGGTAGCGCGCTCAACTTGCTTGCCGCCAAGGCGAACAAAGCATAGAGCGAGTGGAGATTGGATCGAGTGGAGAAGCAAAAAAAGAAGACTCGTCATCGTGAGATTGACTGACTGACTGACAGACGGACGGATGAATTGGTTCTTGACGTGTATGTATGGCTGTACATTGGCGCTGGGCGACATGATATCGAGGGAGGGCGGGAGGCGCTCTGCTTTTCTTTTGCGTATGGGTGTATGAGTGCAAGTCTTTTACACAAAAAAGAGATCCACAGACATGTATATTCAATTCAGACTTGTTTACGCATTGCTCCTTTCCTATCGATACGCTTTCCTCACCACACGCTGTGCTGATTCAAAACACCATGATCGCCGCCACGCCAACGCGTTTGCCGACATCATCATCTCCTGGAGATGCGTATCATGCTGATATCCTTGCCGACGGAAGAGGCCAACGAACAAAGTCGGGAGCGTGAAAGTGCGACTGGTGTCTGACTTTGCAATCTCAGGGCGAGGCCAAAAGTACGTCGCTGGGTCTGATGCATTTCCCCTTCATACTGCGTACCTCGAAGCCTGCAGAGCTCAGTCTGTTCGCAGGCTTCATGAGACTTTGGGTAATAGGCAGCAACAACATCAGTGGCACGAGTGCGGCGCGCGTGACCTGTGACCTATTCGATTCGGTGTCCTTGGCATATGCCATGTTTGCTGTGTCTATGCGGCAGGCGCGTGGTGGCCGGCGCGGTGATTGTGTGGGTATATAAACCTCCCGCCGTCCACCCAGCTAGACTTGTTTTCTGCAGCAGAGCCATAGCAGTGCAGCGGCATACTACAGCCTCAACTTTCGCTCTACTACGTCCTGGAGATTCCAACCATCGTTTCCTACTTTGTCCGTCCTCGTCCTGGTCTTTAGCCCACGATCAAGCGCGAAGACTGTCCTGCTCCGCCAGAGGCTAGCCGGCTGGGACACAGAGCGGTCCCCAAATCCGACGAAGCTGTAAATAATATCAATCACGAGTAACTCTGTCTGAACTTGAGATTAAGAAACGTTGTGTAAAAGTGATGGTGGTCGGTCGTGACAGATTTGCAGCCATTAACTTACCCCTGAGTCGGCGTGTGCTCTCAGGAGACTCGTGAACAGCGAGAGATGGTGGCTGGTATCCTGTTCCTGCTCCTGCTAACTCGACGACAAACGCATGACATACCGCCTCCTTCATCCCCCACTATGCTGCTCGGCATGTGCAGTCGTCACGCGTATAAAATACCTGCCTACCAGTCTTCGACCTGACTGTTTGGTATCTGCGCTTCGGGGACTTTGGAAGAGCTTGTCCCTAAGGCCTGAAAAACTGTTCACTTTGCCCGCTTTTGCGCCTGCAACTTCAGAAATCTCCTACTGTCTTCGCGGGGGCGTTGGGTGTCTGGATCTGTCATCAGTCGGATCTCGGTTGGTTGGTTTGCTGGAGCGATGCGACCTGCTCAGTATTTGGCATTGATGCCGAGCGGCATCGATTTTGAGTAACGATGGCGGTCGTTGCTGAAGAAATCTGCCGACCTCGAGAAAACGAATGGAGATATGGGGGGCGTGGGTTGTCCTCAAGGAAGAAAAGCAGACAAGCACCAAAAGGACAGTCTTGCGTTTGTCAGGTGACGATTGGACTGGGTCTGTAGCTCAAACTGAGCGGCTCAACGATTGAAGTGTCCCAGAAAATCTTGAGCGGTTTTATACTGGAGCCAGGAGTCAGAACTCAAGGATGGAGCTGGTCACGAGACGCTGAGCTCAGTCCATGCTAAGGTGATTTTCCAGAGAGGAGGTCGACGCGTCACATGCATTTCTACGAACGTCATGGCGAGTGAAGAGTATAAATACTGTCGGAGTATGGCTTCGATTGTCAACGGTAACGACTCGAGCAAGCCTTCCACTCATGCCTTACACACCTGGCTTACTGCCTGGCTGGCCTACCCGGAAGTTGAATCATTCTGATTGTGACTGTTTTAGCCAGACTTCACCTCTTTCTTGGACGTGCGGGAATATGTACTGCAGAATGGAGTTCGAAATCAGCGACACAGCTAGCTAATGACAATCAGATGTCGACAAATGATGATGCAGAACGCTTTCATGAAGAATTACACAAGGCTCTTTACTTTCAATATCAGCGGGAAATTCCTAAAGAGGGGGTACTCTCTCTTGTCTCTCCTTATCCTGCCTTTCTTGATCAAGCTTTGCCGAGCGAGGCAAATATACCAAAGCCGCAGGCCCTTCCACAACAATAAATCCATCGTGGTGCAGTGGTAGCACGCCAGGCCTCACATGCAGCACCGCCGCATGACTTACGAGCATGCCACATTGAGTGTCCGGGGCAACCCGAGCGGGCTGGGGGGCCCAGGGCGCAAGCTCGAAGCTCCGAATGGAGTATCCCATCCTTTCCAATGTGCGTTGCGTGTGCGCGAGGAGACTGTCTGGAGGCTCGAGTTCGATTCTCGACGATGGAATATCTTTTGCTCTCGTGCTTTGCAACTCTCTCTTTTTCATCTTTTGCCTCCAAGCTCCGCTTCACTCCTGCAACAAGTCCGCCGTGGTATTCCGCTGCACTGCTCTTCAACGCCCCAAACCAGCTCCGAGCGTTCCATTTTCGAATCTGCAAACCAGGGGGTTCAGGGAGCGAATGGAGGCGCTGTTGGCTGGTAACAAAGTTGGTATGCATGGTCCCACCCGGGGGATGGCCGAGACTGCTGAAAGAATTTGAACTGGACCGGCCTATCTCGCCTGCCCAACGAATTTTACTGTATAAACGTCAAGCTTGTACACTCGATGTCCTGCTCGGTCTAAGGGTGAAACATAACAAACTCTGGAACTCCGGTACTCCGGTACTCCGGTACTCCGAATGCGATCGAGCTGCGTAGCATGTACAAGTACATCAGGAGCATGCGAAGTAGTTCAATGATATTGCGCGCCCCGTCTGAGTATTTGGTAGCGAATCCAGCACCATGTCGCAGAATGAGCGCATTTATTGCTTAATTCGGCAACTACAACATGGTGGTTGGTTTTAAGGAAGCTTGAGGTGTTGCTTGAACACAGGGGATCAAACATCTTGAATGATCTTGAAGCTCACGTCGCATCATGAATCATTTCCTTCAAGTCTGCAAACTTCTAAGCTCAATGAGCTGTCTTTCGAGATCATCGAAACGATGCTTCCAATTTTGTCGATCGAGTCAAAGACAGCGTCGGATAGATCGTGCGTGAAGCGCTTGTGAAGTTGTAAAAGTCCTCTTGATGTTGACCTCTAAGAGATGCACGGCGGCTGCTTTCGCCATGTTCTTTCGACAGGAAGTCTTGAGGGAACAGGGCGCAAAATCCCGATTGAAAAACGCAGCGATTCAGAGGCATCTACACACCTGATTCCTCGTCATGTGCATGAGCGCATTGCACTGGACGCGCATCCCGTGGCGTAGGACCGGCTTCAGCGGGCAGCTGCTTGTCTGGTGGAAGCTTCCCGATGGAGCACTACCCCACTGCTTTCAAGACCAATGTGATTGCGCTGACAGGGCAGCCGATCATGTTCGTGCTTGCCATGAATGCATGGTCGTCGCCATGTCAGGTGAAGTTGGAGGCAGGAAACGCGGAGTTTCTTTGTGGAGAGGGGGAGAGCTCGACGCGCATGAAAAGGTAGCTGCTACATGTATCCAAGTGAAGTGAGCTGTGAGTGCCTCAAGTCTGCAGCGGCGAAGAACTGGGAAGGCTTCTGCGTCGTGATCTGGCATCCAGTTTTGGGCTAGCGCCATCCGTCACAGTGGCTGCCTTCCTTGAGTAATTCGACTCAGAGAAGTTCCAACTCCTCCATGCCCGCACAAACCTGGCTCGTCCGACACCCACACACAACGGCATCTCCACGCTTTCTCGCCCCGACAAGAGCATCTGCAAGACCTGGCAGGGTCCCAAGCTCAATGAGGGCAGGCAAAGCGCACCTTGCGAAGTTCGAGTGATCGGAAACTCTCATGGAGCAAGACGAGTGTAGGTGAAGTCGCCTGCTACAGCGCGAAAGTCATGACTGATGTTCTGCCGCAGTGAATTCCCGCAAAGCAACAATGGCGGCTGAAGACATTCGCTGGACGCGGACATTGGAACTGGCCGTCGAGAACGAAAAGAAATGGTACCATCGAAGGTCAACTCAGCAGCAGGAGGAGCTGGACGAGGTCGTCCGGCGATACAAATTACGAGAGGAGGCCTTGGAACAACGAGAACGGCAGATCGACCGAGAGGTTGAGGAGCGTTCTGCGCAAGCTCGTCAACAAGCTGAGGAGGCTTATGATGCTCGACTGAAGGCCGAGGAAGCTCTCCGCGTGGCCAAGGAGGAGAATAGACAGCTGAAACTGCAATTGGAAGCAGCGACTGGATCACCAACAGCGCAAAAATTCCAGCAAGTCCAACGGCAGGCCAACACCGATCAGCAGCCAACGTTGAGTAACAGCAATCTGAGAATGAGTATGACAAAAAAGTCCAGTCTTTATTCCGCCAGTTCTGAGGGTCCTCGTCATGTTGAACGATGGGTCGAGCAGACCGGAAGCGTCTTGCCAAGCAGAAGAGGAAGTGATGAGTTCTCCGGTTCGACATACCACTTGAGTCCCAGTCTACAACCACCCGAAACGAGTCTTCGGTCGGATTCTCAACACAAGGAGGCGCCATTGAATGCTGGAACCTCTCGGCCAAGGCCATCTTTGTCGAACCAAGAGGCATCGTGGTCAAGCTTGGTCTCTCCATCGCAGGGTGTCACGCCTCAAGATAGCAGCGACGCTTCCCGAGCAGAGATAATTTCTCTGGGTGATACTGATGAAAGCCCCATGCCCGAGGTCCGCGTCTACGAAGAGTTTCTCGCGCCGAATGAGAGCAAAAATGCGGGCAAGAAGACCCCCTCAGGAATGACCGACTACGGAACCAAGCTTCCAGTCTACCTGCGTCATCCTGCCAAAGGTGATTTGGACGCCGATGCATTCCAAAAGCAGTATCGCAAGAATTGGGACGAGGTCTTGATTGAAATCAAGCGCATGCATCGTGGGAAGCATCTCCGACGCTGGAATGGCTGGATCAGCACGAAAAGCAAGCAATGCTTGCACACGTACGTCAAACTCACCGCCAAAAGAGGCACCGAGCGCTGGAATGACCCTGAATCACACAGGGAGACTTGTCAACGTTGCATTGAAAAGGGGAGTTACTGTGTCATCTTGGGAGACGGTGCGAAGAGCCTCATTGTCCTGCCGAGGAAGATAGTTGAGAGGCAATGACTGCTTCTCAGAAGTTGTATCAAAGTCGAAGTATCAACATCTGCGAAGTAATGATATTGTCCTGGTTGCTTCCTATGATATGTTTTCTGGGAAACGGGTAGTATCGGCCTTTGATCGCTTTGCCTCATTTGAGGAAGTCGAACTCTCTGGGCAAAATGTTGAATTTCTCATACACGTAGCAAATGCAACCGGCTGCTTGAAACCATTCAAGTAAAGTAAAAATTAATGTATTGCTCAAATCAAGGGAGTAACTCACTTCTCACCTCGTGCCTAGGCAATTAGGGGATGATCAGGCTGGCGCATTCGACACCTTTCGATGCATGATTTGGGAGAGACGCAGCTCAAGAGACGTGAAATCCGCCCTACAACCATCCCACCCACGCGACCTGAATAATTATGTCGTAGCAATCGCACCGGGCGCATGTCTGTTACGCTATTTGGAGCGCTGCAGACCGATCAACCGAAACCTGATCGAAGGATGCAGAATTCCGTCGAGAGTTGAAATTTGCGGGAAAAGATTGGGGTTGACTATTTGGAGAAATGCAAATCTTCAAGAGGCCCAGAATGATGCGACTTACTTTGGACCTGCACCGTCAAAAGCGAATGCGATGCTGCAAATCTTGAGGCATTCGAACACCTAACCTGGTGGGCGCAAAGATAGAGAAAGAAGCAGAGCGAATCAGCTTGAATGGGTGGATAAGGGAGGAGCCCGCTGCCACGAGACGCAAAATCCACCATTTTCACCACTCCAACACGCGACCGAGCAGCTCTGAAAGCACCCATCAATCGCGCTGACTTGGACTGGTTGAATGCAGAGTCCGCAGAGCATCGTCGCTGATGACAGAATGGCGCTTTCACTGCGTCGGGCGAGGTTGGTACGCGTTTCGGGCAAAGCTGGTGGCAGGTGCATCGACTGTTGGGCCATGTGGGAGTGCTGCGAAATCCTGCAAAAGAAACATGATGGGGGTGGCCAGCGAGCTGCGTCCGGCTGCTTGGCTTGTGGCTCGTCGCGGTGGTCGAGTGTCGTGGAGTTGATTGATAGTCGCGACGCGGTCCAAAATGGCTGCAGGCAAACGCGGGGACGCTAGGCCGGATTGGGATCGCCTAGGGTCATCACTTGTTGACACCAAACTTTTGTCTGCGGCAAAAGTATTCAGTTGAAGACTTTTGCCCCAAAGCCGAATAATTTATTGCTCCCTGCACCAGCGAGTGCAATTGTCGGTCATCTTCATCGTGGCCCAACGTTGAAAAGTCACCATTATGACAAGGAAGCTGGCGTAGAAGCTCTTGATGGCTCCGTATTTGACATGCAACGAGGACAGAGGCAGAACAACACAGGGGAAGTGCTTTGCATCTTTTTGACGGGAAGACCCCCAGTGGATGTTGCCGTAGAACTTCCCACCTGGTACAGCCACGAAGGCGATGTTGCTCGCTGGAAAGTCGCAGGCGACAGCCCTCTTAAATACTGCGCCCTTACAAGTGATGTGATTTGGGAGCCACGTGGCCTGGCACCCGGAGTATTCAGCAGACTGGGCCTGTTGGACCAAATGTCAAGTGACCACCAGCCCAGGAGAAACTTAAGGATATAAAGCCGACCCCCTTTCCCACCCTTTCTCGCTGCAACTGAAGCGAGAGTCCACCAAGTACATGGAGAAAGTATCGGGACACTGTTGCTTGGTTTTCAGATGCTACCTGTGTACTGAGAGTTGTTGGGTCATCGCCTTACTGTCGGTTTGGAGGGCCCAAGCTTTTCACCCCTGAGATCTTACCCCTGAACCCCCTTTTCCAGCAATGAAGTAAATCATCGTTTTCGCTTGGTCAAGCTCCACGATCAATCATTGCTCCACTGGAACAAAACTAGCAAAGAGAAGGTTTGGAATGCCACTCCCTTGAACAAAGGCACAAGTGATGCGTTGTACCTCTGATACAACGCAAGTGAATTCCAGAAAGTGGAACGGCCACTCCCCATGAGCTTGGATGATCCGGGGCCCTGATGCAAAGATCATTCAAATCGTGGAAGTCAGTTTAGCTTTTATACTCCGCGGTTCAAGGCTCACCTGTGTCAGTCCAGTCACACTGGCTTCGTTTGCGGCTAGTCACTTGACCTTTGCTTCTTCACACTGAGTATAAAAGATCTCTGAGTGTCCTTCACTTCTGCTGCAGCCTCGTCGCCATCTTTGGAGCTTACAAGGACCGCGACTCAATTCACTCTT